GCTTGCTTCCAGGAATGAATTTGGGAGTATTGCTTCCCTTTCAATTTCATTGAAGAGTTTAAACAGTAGTGGCAGTAGTTTCTCTCAAAATGTCTTGTAGAATTCAGCAGTGAAGCCATCAGGACCTGGATTTTACTTAGTTGGTAAGTTTTTAATTATGTTTTCAATTTCATTGATTGACATTGGGTTGTTTAGAATTTTTAGATCTTCTTCATTCAACTTGGGTAATTAATACGTATCTCGGAATCTATCCATTTCTTCTGTGTTTTCCATCTTATTAGCATATAGGTTCTCAAAGTATGTATCGATGATCCTTTGGATTTCTTCTGGGTCTGTTGTAATTTCAGCCTTTTCATTCATAATTGCATGGGTTTGGGCCATTTCTTTCCTTTTTCTGACAAGATTGGCTAAGGGTTTGTCAATTTTGTTGATTCTTTCGAAGAACCAACTCTTGGCTTCATTGACATTTTTTGTATCATTCTCTTAGTCTCCACTGCATTGATTTCTCCTCTGATCTTTATAATTTCCTCCCATGTATGAGCTTTGGATTTGTCCTGCTCTTCTTTTTCTAGAAGCTTGACGTTCAGCATAAGGTTATTTAATTGTGTTTGCTCAGTTTTCCTAATATGTGTATTCATGGCTATGAATTTGCTTCATAAGACTGCTTTCATTGTGTTCCATAGATTTCGATATGCTGTATTGTCATTTTCATTTAATTGAAGAAACTGTCTGTTTTCTTCTTTAATTTCCTCTGTGACCCATTGGTTATTCAGAAGTGTGTTGTTCAATATCCATGTGTCTATGAAATTATTGCAGTTTCTTTTGCTATGGATTGCCAATTTCATTGTACTATGGTCTGATAATATACAGGGGATAACTTCAATTCCTTTGCACTTACTTAAATATGTTCTATGAGCAAGTATGTGGTCTATTTTGGAGAATGACCCGTGTGCAGATGAAAAAAAATGTGTATTCTGATTTTATGAGGTTTAACACTCTGTAAACATCTGTTAAATTCATTTGTTCAAGAGTTTGACTGAGTTCTAGTATTTCATTGCTTTTTTTTTTTCTAGTTCATCTATTTGTGACAGTGGGGCATTGAGGTCCCCCACTACTATTGTATTAGTGCTTATATGACTTTTCATGTATGTTAGTATTTGTTTTATATAGTTGGGTGCACTAGTGTTTGGTGCATAGATATTTATGATTGTCATCTCTTCCTCTTGGATTCTTCCCTTT